TCCTCGTACGATGGCTCCCAAGACGTCCAACGCGACGCACGACTACACCCCGACCCCAGCAGCATCGCCCGCTGCAGGTGCGCAAGCGCCAGGTAACCGCGAGTATGTGTCCCTCTACACTGAGCACGTCCACGTGGAGCTCTTGGAAATCAACAAAGACAAGTCCAACGGCATCCGCGTCACCATCGCAGACGGCGCGAGCCTCCGTTTCCGGGCCGAGCGCAAGACACATGGACTCACCACGTTGTGGAAAGACGCCGTCGCCGTCCACGACCTCTCACCAGCACCTCTTGGAGTTCAGACCGCCCAGTGCGGTTTCGCACGGGCGTTCGGCCAGGGGAACCCCAATCCGCGCTGGGCGCACGTGCACGTGGCTTTCGGACTGAACCCGCGCACCGCCGCCGCCGCCCACAAGCACGTCATCCAGTTCACCGCGGACACTCTCACGCGCAGCTACTTCGAGGCCGACTTTGAGGTCCCTGCGAATGAGAAACACACGAGCTTCAAGATCACTTCAGCCAAAACCAACAACCGCCTCAGCCTCACCAGGCAGTTCAAGATGATGGACGGCACCGACAAGACAGTCAAGGAGCTTCACAACTTCTGCTTCTTGGTTGCGAGTAACGTCCCGGACAAGTTGCTCACCTCGCTGCGCAACCTCCACAAAAAGTACATAAAAGTACCCTCAGTTCATCACGTGGGCCTCGTGCGCGCCGAACACGCCCACGCAGGACACCGTGCCGTCAGCGCTCCCCTCGCCCACGGCAGAGCCCAGCGGGCCCCGCAAGCGCCCTGCAGCGGCGACGCCGACAGCCCCAATGACCAAGAAGCCAGCGAGGATGTCCAAAAAGTAAAGTGCCCTGCAGGGTCCGCCCACCGAGCCATGCAGATTTGCGCACCGGGCGCGGGAACGCTTCCTCTCGGGAAGTCCGGGACGCTGAGCTAGACGCCGATTTTTTCAAGCAGGTTCGGGGGCGTTCGTCGCCGCTCCGATTTTGCAGAGCACCACGTCAGGATCGCCCCTACACTCAGTGAGAAAAAACATCATCACCAAACTGCGCGGCGTCGCCGCCCGTGACCTTCCCAACCCAAATCTGCAGAGGTATGAGGCCACCATCGTTGCCAGCACCCTTTTCGCTGTATTCACCTCATCCGAAGCCTCCCTCTCCCTTCCCCTGCCCTCGGCGTTGCATCCCCGCCTAATCTTATCGCCGATGACCGTCGCGTGCATCGCCCCTTGCCAACTCGGCGCGCGCGCACGGCGCGCGCGCACTCCATGGGCCGACGCCCATGCGCCCGTGACCTTCCCATCCCCGTCCCTGCCCATCGCCGACGCTTCAGCCCGCATAGTCGCACTTCGCTCGCACGCTGCACGCCAGCGCATCGTGCCAAGACCTCCAAGCGAAGCGCAGCGAGCTTCAAGTCTTGTGTATATGTATATATATATACATATACATTCCCATTTTATATATTTCTACCATCTGGGCGGAACGCGAAAGGGCCCCCCAAAAAAAAACGAATTCCCGGGATCTGGGGCTTTGGGACCATCTGGACGGGCCTCGAAGCGGCCCCCCAGGCCTCGCTGGGCGGTTTGCCAAGCCTTCCTAGCACACCTGAGGCGGTCAGGGGGGTCATTGGAGACGTCCCAGAGACCCCCAAGACAGCACAAGAGCGCTCCAAGAGTGACCGACGTGACCTCCAGATGGCCCAAGAGGCCTCCAGGACGGTCCCAAAGAGGCCTCCAAGAGCACTACCAAGAAGGCCCCAAGAGGCAAAAATCATTGATTTTCTGCCGGTGTTTGGTAAATTTGGGGGTTCTCCTCTTTTCGGCTTCCCGACGCTTCAAGACGGCGGTCTTCTGGGCGTCCGAAGCCGCCTGGGAGGCTCCAAAATCGTCCCGCAACCATCCGAAAGGGCTTCTGGGCAGTCCAAGAGAGCCCCAAAACGGCACAACACGGTCCAAGATGGCTCTCAGAGAGCCCCATGGCGGCCCAAGATGGCCCCAAGACAACTTCCGAAGCATTCCAAATCGTGACCCAGTCGTTCAGGGAGACCGTGGCTGGAGGCAGGGTGGCCCGAAGAAGCCTCCAAGGCCCCCAGAATACGCCCAGGAGGCCTCCAGAAGGCCTTGAGAAAGCCTGAAACAACTTTTGTGATGCCCCCAGAGGCTCTCCAAGGAGGAGACTCCGCAAAAAAGAGCTGCGGAGGATGGGGAGAATGTGGCGAAAATGAAAAAACAAAAAAAAAAAAAAAAAAAAAAAAAAGCATGGAGGAAAGATAACAAATAACATTATTATAGCGGCGATGCCGGAAAAGGCAACAAGGAGTTATCGCTAAATTGTCGGCTTGACCTTCCTGCTATTCCGCCTGCACACCAAACTTCAAGGACCAAGGTGCATGGCGCGAAGCGCCAATGCAGTCTTGTATATATATATATATATATATATATATATATACATATACATATCGGAGCTAGACTATTTGCACCACATTGATAGGTTGCACCGCGTAAGTTGCAGCACATTGGTTGCACCACATGTGTTGCTCCATACATACCTATATATACACATCGATTGCACAGCATAGGCTGCAAGACATACAGACACACACACACTGGTTGGGGTCCACGCTGGCTAACACTATCAATGCGAAAAGTGAGCTTGAAACATCTTACTTGACATGAAGTGGTCAGGAATTTTTGCTTAGCGTGTCGCGGCGGCGGCCCCAGCGACACGCTATGTCCTGCAAGCGGGCAGCGTGTCGCTGCGCTCCGCAGAGGGCGGGAGAAGGGAAAGGCCAGGGACCGTGATGCTTGGGGACTGGGACGCGGTTAGCGTGCCGCGCCGAAGCATGGTGGACCAGAAGCAGCGGGGCGACACGCTTAGCAAACGTTCCTGCCGTATTGCGAAAACCTTACGGCCAGTGCCGAAGACCGTGAAGTACGACGACGACGACGACGACGACGACGACGACGACGACGACGACGACGACGGCAAACGACGACGACGACAACGACGACGACGACGACGACGACGACGACGACGCCGACGCCGACGCCGACGCCGACGCCGACGCCGACGCCGACGCCGACACCGACGACGACGACGACGACGACGACGACGACGACACCGACGACGACGACGACGACGACGACGACGACGACGACGACGACGACGACGACTTGCGGCGCGACACGCCAACCAAACGTTCCTGACCGCATTTCCCAACCATCCTGTAGTGTTGGGTCCTCGTTTTGAAGAGACGGTCCCCGCGTTCACCCCTCACGGTACCCGCGTTCACTCCTCCTCCTCCTCCTCCTCCTCCTCCTCCTCCTCCTCCTCCTCTTCCTCCTCCTCCGCTACCTCCTCCCCCCCTTCCCCCCCTCCTCCAGTCACCCCCCTTACTTTGGCACACCCCTCACACGCTTCGTGGCCCCATAGGGAGCTCCACCGAAGGCCCAAGTGGGGGTGCCCGCATGCACCCGCCACACCCAGTACAGCGTTTCGTGGTCCCACAGGGAGCTCCAGCGACGGCCCCGGTGGGGATGCCCGCATGCACCCGCCACACCCATTACAGCGCTTCGTGGTCCCATAGGGAGCTCCACCGAAGGCCCAAGTGGGGGTGCCCGCATGCATCCGCCACACCCAGTACAGCGCTTCGTGGCTCCACAGGGGGCTCCACCGAAAGCCCCAGTGGGGATGCCCGCAAGCGTCCGCCACACCCAGTACAGCGCTTCGTGGCCCCATAGGGAGCTCCACCGAAGGCCCCACATTGGGGGTGTCCGCATGCACCCGCCACACCCAGTACAGCGCTTCGTGGTCCCACAGGGAGCTCCACCGACGGCCCCAGTGGGGATGCCCGCATGCGTCCGCCACACGCAGTACAGCGCTTCGTGGTCCCATAGGGGGCTCCACCGAAGGCACCAGTGGGGGTGGCCGCATGCGCCCGCCACACCAAGTACAGTGTTTCGTGGTCCCGTGGGGAGCTCCACCAAAAGCCCCAATGGGGGTTCCCACATGCGTCCGCCACACCCAGTACAGCGCTTCGTGGCCTTATAGGAGGCTCCACCGAATGCCCCAGTGGGGGTGCCCGCATGCGTCCGCCACACCCAGTACAGCGCTTCGTGGTCCCATAGGGAGCTCCACCGAAGGCCCCAGTGGAGGTGCCCGCATGCACCCGTCACACCCAGTACAGCGTTTCGTGGTCCCACAGGGAGCTCCACCGAAGGCCCCAGTGGGGGAGCCCGCAAGCGTCCGCCACACCCAGTACAGCACTTCGTGGCCCCACAGGGAGCTCCACCGAAGGCCCCAGTGAGTGTGTCCGCATGCGTCCGCCTCACCCAGTACAGCGCTTCGTGGCCCCATAGGGAGCTCCGCCGAAGGCTCCAGTGGGGATTTCCGCATGTAAGCCACACTCAGTGCAGCGTTTCGTGGCCCCATAGGGAACTCCACCGCCATACTCAGGACAGCGCTCCTTGGTCCCATAGGGAGCTCCACCGACGGCCACAATGGGGGTGCCAGCAAACGTCCGCTACACCCAGTATAGCGCTTCGTGGCCCCACAGGGTGCTCCACCGAAGGCCCCAAGAGGTGCCCGCATGCGTCCGCCACACCCAGTACAGCACTTCGTGGCCCCACAGGGAGCTCCACCGAAGGCCCCAGTGAGCGTGCCCGCATGCGTCCGCCACACCCAATGCAGCGCTTCGGGGCCCCATACGGAGCTTCACCGCCACACTCAGTACAGTGCTTCGTGGCCCCATAGGGAGCTCCACCGAAGATTCGCATACGTCCCAACCATACGTCCCACCCTCCCCTGTTCGCACTGCCCCGCGCCTCGTTCTTCCCAAGGCGCGGTGCCTATGAGGGCAGAGGGTATACCGCATGAGCTATTCGGAGTGTGCGTGCCCGCCTCATTCCTCTCATCGTCATCGCCGTTCTCGCAGCTGCATATGGTTGGGTCTTTCGTCCGGCTAATTTGTTGTTGGTGGGGGGGGGCGAACGCGGTCCTTCGCCACTACGCCCTTCGGCTTGATGGGAACCAGTAGGTGCCCGTCGTTTTCCTGACGAGTGGGGCCCGCTGCCTCCCCCCTCCTCCTCCTCCTCCTCCTCCTCCTCCTCCTTCCTCCTCCTCTTCCTCCTCCTCCTCCTTCTCCTCCTCCTCCTCCGACAGTTCCTCACGCCCCTCCTGCTCACAATCCACCTGATCCTCCTCCTCCCTCTCCTCCTCCTCCTTTTCTCCTCCACCTCCTCCACCTCCTCCTCCCTCCTCCTCCTCCTCCTCCTCCTCCTCCTCCTCCTCCTCCTCCTCCTCCTCCCCTCAAATATCTATCCTCTTCCTGTTCCCCTCCTCCATCCTTCTCGGTCAACTCCGCCTCCTCCTCCTCCTCCTCCTCCTCCTCGCCATCCTCCTGCGCGATCATAAGAGCAGCTGCGCGCGCACTGCTGCCATCTGCTGCCATATGCTGCGGCTGCAGGCTGGCCGCTGGCACAGGCAGCTGGGCGGGCGCCGCGGGCTGCTGGCCCTGCGGCTGCTGCTGCTCAAGTGCCGCGATCCTCGCGCGTCTCTCTCCCCGTCTCCTTGGGTAATTTACTGTCGTCGCATCCTGCCCCTTTACCTGCTGCCTTCTCGTCGGCGATACGTTTGCGGCAGTTGCGCGCGATGGGGCCCTTGCCGCCGCAGTAAAAGCACTTCTTGTCGCTCTCGTCAGCCGCTTTGCCTTTGCCTTTCGGGTCCTTACCCTTGCCTTTCGGGCCCCTGCCCTTGCCCCTTCCTCTGTCGCCTTTGTTGAACATAGCGTCCACCCCCATCGGATCACCAACCTCCGTCGTCTGCCACGTCCTGCTCGCGCTGATGTAGGTCCTGACCGAGCCCATCATCTTCGAATACGTGTCCAATGTCGAGTCGTTCAAGGCTAGGCGATGCCCGGCCGTCTGGTTCTCGGCGCCGCTGAGGACCGTCATTGCCAAGATCTCGTCTGGGATCTCCCTGCCCGACTGGTCCGCGCACTGCTCGACCATCCTCTCAAAGTTATCGAGGCTCTGAGAGGGTCGGGCAACTTCGCGCGCAGCACCGATGACAATATCGCCTGGGACCGTCTCCTCTGCTTCGGCTCGTACTCGTACACCAGCAGTCGCCAGACCTCGGAGCTGCGTCCGACTGGCGCGCTCTCGGCCTTCTTCAATACGAGCATCACCAGGACGTAGTGGATCTGGCCGTTCGCCTGGGCCTGCTCCGCGTCGAGGTCCTCGTCTGGGATCTCCATCGGCCCTGGGCCCTCGCGATGGCCAAGCTCACTGCAGCACCGCATGGCCATGAACGTGAAGCCCCAATCTGACCACTCTGCACGTGCTCCATCGAACACTCCCGGTTGCTTGACGAGCCTCGCGCCGACTCCGCTTCTGGAGCTGCCGCCGCGGCCGCGGGCCTCTGCGGCGGCGCCTGCTGCGCCGGGCGCTCCGTCTCCAGGAGGCGGCGGTTCAGCTCCTCGCTCTGCTGCAGCCGCTGCTGCATCTGCTGCTGCAGCGCCTCCATCGGTCCGCCGATCCTACTCGGGCTCCGCTAAGTCCGGGGATCCAACTCGGGGCCCCGCTACCACGCGTGGAACCCGCTTTGGCCTCTGGGGTCCCTCCCGAGCCCTAAGAGCCCATCCCTGCGCCCCAAGAGCCCCTCCTTTCTCCTGGGCTGGCAAGGCGCGCTCGCGCGCCAGGGGGGGCGGGGGGCGGGGGGGGCGCGCCTGCCTCTCGCATGCATCTCTACCTTTCTCTGACATGGGGGGCTGGAGACTCGCATCAACTCTTGCAAATACAATGGGAGACGACCCCAGGACGCCCATTGATCTTTGGCGCGGGATCGTCGCGCCCCCCATCGGAAGCCCGTCGAAACCGAAGGAACCCCATGGGCCTCGACTGTAGGCCCCCGCGGTCTGATGACCTGGACGAGGACTCGCCGGCGGTCGAGACGCCCGGCGCGCATTGGCGCCCCGAGGCAGTTTGCGACAACGAGCCGCTGGCCAATGAGCCCCACGTAGACGCCGACGTCGTTGAGGGGCCTCCACTGCAAAGCCCAGAGCTCGCGCACATCGATACGATGCAACCCAGCGCCCCCGCCCCCCCCGCGAGGAGGACAGCCGCGCTGGGCCGCTCCTCCTGGAGAGCCACGCTGGCCCGCACGAGACTTTGCGCCGCCGGGGGCGGGGGCCCCTGCAGGGGCCCAGGGACACGCAAACAAATAAATCCCGAAATTCCCCATGTGCCCCCATATTTTCCAAGCGTTCGCCCCCCCCCCCCCCCCCCTGCTCCTTCTATTTTCCTATATTTTCACTGGAGTCGACGATTCACTGCGTCTGCGTTTTTTCCCTCCTGATCACCGCCCAAGAGACCCCCCTCAAAGAAGCGTCGTCGGCGTCGTCGCTGCCCTGTCGCGCGTTTAGCGCCTCCTGCCCGCCAGCTACCGCATCTGGCACCGGTCGCGCGCCAATTGTCTCGCCCGCGCGCGTTTTGCGCGCGGCTGCCTCGCTCTTCGTTCCCCCGCACGCGGGGGTCGCCTTCCATCCAGACCCCAGAGAGAGGACCAGGTGGAGCGGGAGGAGGGGCAGGCAGTGAGAGAGGGACCATCGCACCAGACAGCCTTATCTGCACATGCCCACCCCCTGGGGGGCGGCGCCCGCACCGCGAGCCGGGATGCCCCCCAGAGACGCGTGCGCCTCAAGGGCAGCGCGCAGCGAGGTGAGAGGTAGAGCGACGCAGGTGCTGCCACTGGCCAGGCCTGCACCATCGCACGCAGGCAGCGGCGCGAGCAGCACCTGGGCGAGCAAGCGGACGAAAGGTCCGGAAGCCAGCTGCAGCATCGGCCCCGCCGTGCTGGGCGTCTCCGCCTGGAAAACCGCCCGGCGCCCTGGGCAGGACAGATTGGCGGCGCGCGCGACGGGGCAAGGGGCAGGGGGTGGGTTTCCTAGAAGGAGGTCGCTTCTCAGATGGCGCGGCCCTGACATCTACAGAGGAGACCCGCGCCTTCCAAGGAGCAAGGGTGCTTCTGCGAAGCCTGCCCCCCTCCCCCACGACCCCCTCTGCGCGGGGCAGAGCGGGCGCCTGTGAAGCAACGCCCCTGGGGCCTCTCGTCAAACCTAGCAAAACTGCGACGCCTGCGGGCCGCGCAGCGGCCTGCCGCTCCCGGGGCCACTGCCCCCCAAGAAGGGCCGACGCAGCGCACTTTGTTTTCGCGGGCCTCAAGCTTGCGCACGCCGTCGCGCACTGGAGAAAGAGGCGGCCTTGCTCGACTTCATCACGCTCTACCTGCAATGAGACTCGCTGCCAGCACCAAGCGTCAGTCGCACGCTCGATGGCGCGCGCAGCCGCGCAGCGGTCACTGGGCAGAGCAGGACAAGCGAAACGTTGCCAACTCACAGGGGAGACCACTCCAGCCCGTCGCCGTGGATGCCCCGCCTGGCGGCCGCCGCGACAACCCTACTGAAAAACCATAGGATGGCTTTCCACGGCGAAACACGCCCCGAAAGCGAGTCCCAGGCTCCGCGGAGCCCAGCCTCGATCACGTGCCCCGCCAAAACAAGGTGCAGGAAGGGAAAGAGGGCATAGATGGGATTCGCCTGCTTGACCTATGATAGATGCTGCAACATTAAAATGAATACTGCGGCCAACAAACTTCTGACCATGGACAGAGGCCCGCGAAAACCAGGCTTCTCGCATCTCAGTGCCAGAGGCGCGCAATATCCCCAACCCGTGCGAGGTGGAGGCCTGCGCGGCAGCTCGAATCATGTGATGCGCTTGCCCCTGGTGCAACTTCGAATTGAGACTTCAATCTTGCCGTAGCGAACGCGCGCTGCCTTCCTGCGCGATGCCTTCCTGCGCGCGTTCTTGGCAGCGCGCTCGATGACTTCCCGCGCCGCCTAGTCCAACCCCAAATCTTGCTCCTACCGCACAGGTAAAATGCGAATGGCGCGCAGCGCGCCAGCCAACCCGACGCGCAGAGCAGGACTGGACGAGAGCCCTGCTATTGGGGCGGCCGGCTGGGGGGGAGACGACTGGCATCTAACTCCTCATGCACCATGTTGGTGGGTTGTGGCGGAAACTGCAGCACTCGATCCTGGGGGCAGCGCTGTGCAACCCGGTGTCATCAACAACCACCCCGAGGTGCATCTCGCGCGTGGCGATGGGAGGGAAGCCAGCTTGCATTTAGTCAATCAGACTCAACAGCGCGATGCGCAATCACAGATAGGTGCAATGACAACCAGCAAGCAAGCACTGCATGCCGAGTGGAGATCGGCTGCGAACTGACTCCAGCATGCCCAAGCACACGCGGCGAGTGGTACGGGCCAGCGAGCAGCCTGAGCTGCCGCGGAGGGAAGCCAGATCTTCGAGCTGCATCCACTCAGACGCCGCGCCGAATGCTCTCGGAGGCCTCCTGCTGACAACTCACTCTGAGTAGGCCGCCCGCGCACTGACGAGGCGCTCAGATCCTCTCCCCGACGTGAACCACCAGAACTCATGGAAGGCATCGGCTTGCCAACAGCTGAGCAGCGGCCCACCGAGCCAACGCTGAACACGCGCGGCGATGCGGAGCAGGGCGATGGGCCGAAGGCCGCCATGGCGCTTCAGCAAAATACGATCGTTTACCACATGTCTGGCCAAGTGAAGGCGCGCCCAATGAGCAGAATGACCAGCCTGACACACTCGAGCCCTTCCCCCGACAATACTAGCAACTGACATGGCGAGACATGATCGAAGCCGGCACCGCTGGCGGCCTCAAAACTCAAGGCAATTTCGCAACTCTGATCGTTCAAAACCAGGCGCCATGTCTTGAGGCCAGGTGACAGCGCCCTCCAAGTCCCCCGCCATTCAGAAATTCTGCTCCTCCTCCAGAAGACGCGCCTCTTGCTCATGAGACGCTGGCGCGGCCCAGGGGCTGCCTTCCTCGGCGAAGCTGGGACTAGAATGACATGGCACTCACCGCCCCGCCACCTGAACTGCTGTGGCTCCGAACCCACGCGCTCCACTCGTGATCGCGCCGCTTCTCCGCAGCGCGCTGGCGCGGGTCCGCGGCCGCCCTGCCCCCTAACCTCGAGCGGCCGAACTCAGCCGTCGGGCATGCCGACGGAAGCGCCCTCGTCATCGCGCGGTAAAAACTGCGCACGCGCGCGTCGATGAGTCGCCCCAGAGAGAGCACCGGAGGAGTGTCCTCAAGGATGGCGGGATCGACTTCGAATTTCGCAAGTGGCTCGCCCAGGCAAACATGCAAATTATCACAGGTTAGTGCTGGTACATTGGCGCTGGCAGGAGTAGAAACCAAGTCAGAATGATACATCCCTCATCATTCCCAACGGGTCAGATCCTCACGACCAATCAGCTCGATCCATGAACCCGAGTCAGCTCGCGACTCTCGCGACTCTCTTTCGTCCACAACAGCAGCATCAGACTCCCAGGGGCGGCGCCTACCGACCGCCCCCAGTCGCCACTGACGACGAACGTCGGCGCCCCAAACAGTGGCATCGCAATAGCGCGAGTCAGCGTTCGAGGACGTATATGGGTCACAATTGCACGTTGACCCAGGAACTAAACGGTCTTCGCTGTGTCTGTCGTGCGCTCCGCTCAAAATAAGCACCATCCAGACGCCTCGCGGCCGCGCGAGCGGTTGCTTCCGCTCGTTCAATGAAGTCGCGGAAGTCGCACGACTGTTCATGTCACGGTCCAGTCTAGCAACATAGTGCTCGCAGGTATCTCGGGCATGTCCACTGTCGCGTTTAAGGTTGCCCTGTTTGAGCAGCGCGATCGACCTCCCACTGAGTGCCGCGCCGGCCTACTGGCGCGGTGCATCCGCTCAGCCATGCGAACCACCCGTTGGGCGCCCCCATGGAAATATTCGAACAACGAAGTGGTCGGCCCAAGCTTCTTTTCTCAGAGCCCTCAGGGCTCTTCGAGCAGCGGACTTCCGCCATGATCCACTTCGCAGCAACTCTCGCCGCCGCCGCGTCTCGGCGGACGCTATCCCCCCGGGAGACGACCCAGCGCCGCCCTGCCCCCGCGCGAAGCAAAGAACGCCGCGACCGAGTGGCCTTCGTCGGTGGGCGGGCGCACTGGTGAACCGCGGCATTCAAGCGCTATCGCGGCCAGCCCCTGGACTGTCCTCGCGGTTTCCAAGGCCATCCATGCGACTGCCCATGGCCTTGGGGCTGCTGCCCCACCTCGGGCTATCAGGAAGCGTTCGCCCGCGCCCTCTCTGGGCCGGCGGGGCGCGACGTCGTTCATCTCCCCGTCCGTGCGATTGCTGCCTGGCTACCGCCTGGGGCGCGGCTCCGACAGG